CGCTTTTGAGTATTTTTATAGAAAAAGCGCAATATAAGTATTAAATATTATTAATTTCATCAGCCAGTTATTACTTCGTCACACAGCGCGTAACGCTTTCATGAATAACTCGTTTGTTTTGTGGAGACGTGAGCTTGGGATGCCTGTTTTCCACCAGCATTTCCAAGTTCGCTACTTTCTGCCTATGTTTTTGATGTCATGACTAGACAGCCGCGGAAGAGGCTTGAGTCCAAGGTGAATTTTCTCTCGACCAGGCGTGATACGGTCCATTTTGCGTTCGTCTATCACAGGTTAAGTAAGGTGCATAAATACTATCGATTCTATTGAACGTTTTGGAACAACAGATCTTGAATGTTCAAAGTGAATGCACTCCATGTATTTCAAAACCAGGGTAAATATTCCATTACATTTCATACAAGACAGCTGCTAAGCAAACACTAGTTAAATATAATACTACCACAGCAAAATAAAAATATCGTCATTCTTGGTTTGTACAAAAACAAATTAAAGCTGTGATTACCAAAGACGAATGACAGCACATGTTTCGTTCCTAAATCATTAAAAAACGCCCATATAATCACCAAAATGCTCCAAACAAAGCAGTTCTTTTTTTCTTTGTAAATACTATATATAGTGGTCTACATTAAAAAAACTTAGAGTGCTTAGTTTATCTAAAATACTACAACTTTATTTTAAAGGACTTCTCTCTACAGCCGACTTACAATCTGTCCTCCAATAGCTCCAATCAAATGCGTGTATAATATTCAGCTAATGTTGTAAAATGTTGTAAAAAGGCTATCGATAAAAGGATGTAAATCAAGGTTAATTAATCATTAGATTCTTACAATTAATAAACAACTGGAATCTCTACTTTCCACCTAGTGGCCGTCTCTTTTTAAACTAACTGCCAGGTTTTGGTATAAGCGACACCTATGAAATATCATTATTTTAAACAGTAGTCCTGTGCTAAGTCTTTCCGTTCTACCAACTTATCGTCCAATGCATTATACAAAGTCTCGTAGTCTGCAGTTTTCGCATTCTTTGATTTCCACAGTTTCAGTATCTGATATCCCCTTTTAGCCAAAGTCCTATATTTGTCTTCAATTCCTTGTATGTGCGCCTCATTAATTCCAGGTAGTCGACGTGCCAGTTGATCCCAATTGTCACCAATAGCTTGGCCAAGTGTTTGAAGGTCATGATCAGTTACTATTCCCTCTTGAAGA